ATATGCTCAAAAATTAAAAAAAAAAAAAAATGAAGAAAAAGAAAAAAAAAATTCCAGAATTTCAAGTTCCTTCGAATTCAAATCTTTATCAAAATCGCAAATCAAAAAGATTCCTAAAAGAAGAACCATCATCGTGTCATCATTGTTCGCATGTTCAAAAATTAAAAAAAAAAAAAACGACAAAAAAAAAAAATTCCAGAATTTCAAGTTCCTTCGAATTCAAATCCTCATCAAAATCGCAAATCAAAAGAATTCCTAAAAAAAGAACCATCATCGTATCGTCATTATTCCTATGCTCAAAAATTAAAAAAAAAAAAAAAGAAACGAAGAGAAAAAAAGAACATCTCCAAAATTTCAAGTTCCTTCGAGGTCAAAGCCTTATCAAAAACGCAAAACAAAAGGGTTCCTAAAAGAAAAACCATCAACCCTCACAAGCTTAAAAAAAAAAGAAAACAAAAACAAAAAAAGAAAATTGCCAAGCTTCAAAACTTTGCAAAAGTTTCGTAGAACTTCGCATAGCATCGATGCAATTCCAACCCTTTCCACCTATATTATTTTCCGACCAATGCCACACGTAAGTCAAACAAAAAAAAAGCTTAAAACGAGGAGGGAAGCCAGCGGTGGTCCCAGCGTCGCAACAACCATCTCTCCGTCGCTTTGGCGCGGCCAGCCTCGGCCGCGCCACGTGGCCGCGTTTCCCGTGTTTCGCTCCCCCTCGCGGATCTCGCGGGTTTTACCCTCGAGCGGGCCTCCGATCTCGCGAGGCGGAGAGCCAGTCGACCGAGTGGCTGGTGTCGGCCGATTACGATCGGGGGTGGCTGGTGTCGTAAATAACAACCGCGGGCAACGCGCGTGGCCGGCCAATTTGGCCGTCGTGGCCGTCTCGTTTGGCGCGTCTGCCGGTGTTCTGGGACCCGTGGCTGGCTCCCTTGGGAGGAGCGACGGCGACGGGACCGGGTGGCACAGCCTTCGATTATCTCGTGTGACGACAAGCCACACACGCACTTGGGATGGCCACACTCTCTTTCTCGCCTCGCCTCGGGATCGAGGGAATAGGCCAGTTCGAGACCGCGGCCGCGAACGAGAGGGTGAGTCTTTCGAAACCCCTTTCGATTCTCGCCCGATCCTCTACGATCTGCCGGATATCTCGTTTCGTTGCCTCTTTCCTTGACGTCGAGCGCTTTTGTTATTATAATAATAATAATAATAATAATAATGATGATAACAGTTGGGAGGGGAGGGAAAAATTTTGGAAAATTTTGAAGAATTTTCGGTATCGGTTGAGGAGGGATCGATCGATCGATCGAGGAGGAGAATTCGATGGATACGAAGGGAGATTCTCTTCTTGCTCGAAGACGAGATTGATATTGGTCTGAAGATTTTTTTTTTTTTGTGTATAGAAGAGTGAAGATTATTGAAGAATATTCAAGGAGGAGAAATTATTAGAAATTTGGAGGAGAGGGAAAGCGTGGTAACATCGATGTTCACCGTAGTTGTTAGTACGGTAACCTTGTAACACAAGTGGCAATCGGAAGTGATAGTGCACGAGAGGAAATCAAGAGAGTGATTAATGCTGGAATAATTGCATGTAAAGCGAATAATAAAAGAAGTAAGGGACGTAAAAAACGTTCGTTGTTTTATTAAATATATAGGATAATTGGTTGGGATAATAGATTACGAGATAAAATAAAATTGGCGAGATGATAGAAGAAGCTGCGATTTTCGATGTGAGTAAAAGTTAATACTTGTTGTTACAGAAACGAATAATTTTCTTTCCTCGATTTTTCTTCTTTTAATCTTTCGATCGTTTACTCTCTATCAAGACAAAGTTGGAGATATTCGGAATAAATTGTTAAACTCAAGGAATTATTTAAAATAAAAGAATTATCGTATTACATACGAGATGTAAATTCGAATTAACGCTCGAATTATTAGCGCTCCTAGAATTGAAACTTTGATCGGTATCCGATCTAATTTTCACGCATCCACTAATTCTAATCGAACACTTTTTGTAAATATCTAATAATTAATCGAATCGTTTAAAAGGCGAGACGAATTTAACTTGAACGCGAGATCCAACCAAAGAAAGTGCAACATCTCT